TTTTTTTTCTTTTTTTTTTTTGTTTTTTTTTTTTGTTTGCTGTCAGGCGAGCGAGTGTACTCGGAGTGCCCTCCTGTGTGCGTGCTGGACCCCTCGCCGTCCACAGAGCATTTCAAGTGCGGCGCACCCAACCTGCGATGCACGCGACACCAGGAACTCGCTCGGCCAACGCCCACGCCTCTACACTCAGGCGTTCGTCTTCACATGGGCGTCCACATGGGCGAAATTGTCTGGGGGCCTGTCGCTGCTGGCGGGAAGCTGTGCGGCTGTCAGGCGGGCGAGTGTACTCGGAGCGCCTTCCTGTGTGCGTGCTGGACCCCTAGCCGTCCACAGAGAGCCTTTTCAGTGCGGGCGGCCCCAACCAGCGATGCACGCGACAGCGGAGCTCGCTCGTCCACGGCGGCGGTCCTCACGCTCAGGCCGTCTGTCTCCACATGGGCGCCACATGGGCTACAGTGTCCGGGGGCCTGTCGCTGCTGGCGGGAAGCTGTGCGGCTGTCAGGCGGGCGAGTGTACTCGGAGTGCCTTCCTGTGTGCGTGCTGGACCCCTAGCCGTCCACAGAGTGCATTTTCAGCGCGGGCGGCCCCAACCTGCGATGCACGCGACAGCGGAGCTCGCTCATCCACGGCGGCGGTCCTCACGCTCAGGCCGTCTGTCTCACCATGGGCGTCACATGGGCGACAGTGTCCGGGGGCCTGTCGCTGCTGGCGGGAAGCTGTGCGGCTGTCAGGCGGGCGAGTGTACTCGGAGTGCCTTCCTGTGTGCGTGCTGGACCCCTAGCCGTCCACAGAGTGCATTTTCAGTGCGGGCGGCCCCAACCTTCGATGCACGCGACAGCGGAGCTCGCTCGTCCACGGCGGCGGTCCTCACGCTCAGGCCGTCTGTCTCCACATGGGCGTCACATGGGCGATAGTGTCCGGGGGCTTGTCGCTGCTGGCGGGAAGCTGTGAGGCTGGAGTGTCTTCCTGTGTGCGTGCTGGACCCCTAGCCGTCCACAGAGTGCAGCTTCTCGCTGAGACGACCTAACCTGTGAGCACGCGCAGCGCCTCGGTGATCGTCACGGCGGCGGTCCTCACGCTAAGGCCGTCTGTCTCACATGGGCGCCACATGGGCTCCCGTGTCCGGGGGCCTGTCGCTGCTGGCGGAAGCTGTGCGGCTGTCAGGCGGGCCGAGTGTACAATTCGGAGTGCTTCCTGTGGCGATGGGACCCTCGCCGTCCACAGGGTGGCATTTTCAGGCGGGCGGCCCCCCAACCTGTGATGCAAGCGACAGCGGAGCGCGCTCGTCACGTCGGGCGGTCCTCACGCTCAGGCCGTTCTGTCTCCACAGGGGCGTCACATGGGCTACAGTGTCCGGGGGCCTGTCGCTGCTGGCGGGAAGCTGTGCGGCTGTCAGGCGGGCGAGTGTACTCGGAGTGCCTTCCTGTGTGCGTGCTGGACCCCTAGCCGTCCACAGGGTGCATTTTCAGTGCGGGCGGCCCCAACCTGTGATGCACGCGACAGCGGAGCTCGCTCGTCCACGGCGGCGGTCCTCACGCTCAGGCCGTCTGTCTCCACATGGGCGTCACATGGGCGACAGTGTCTGGGGGCCTGTCGCTGCTGGCGGGAAGCTGTGCGGCTGTCAGGCGGGCGAGTGTACTCGGAGTGCCTTCCTGTGCTGCGTGCTGGACCCCTAGCCGTCCACAGAGTACGTTTTCCCCAGCCTCCCGAGTGTTGGGCCCTCGTTTTGTATTCGCAGCGCCCCACATCACTCTCCTTCTCCTTTTCCTCGCCACTTCCCCCTCCTTCCTTTTCTCATGTTCCTCCTCATTCTTCCATTCGCTTTCTTCTCATCCTCCCTTTCCTACTTCCCATCACAATCACCACCACCACCACCATCATCATCATCATCATCATCATCATCATCATCATCATCATCATCATCATCATCATCATCATCATCATCATCATCATCAGCCTTAGCATCAACATCAGCATCACGTGCCATCATCATCATCATCATCATCGTCATCATCATTATCATCATCATCATCATCATCATCATCATCATCATCATCATCACCGTCATCATCGTCACCATCATCATCATCATCATCATCATCATCATCATCATCATCATCATCATCATCATCATCATCATTATCATCATCATTCTTATTCTTATTATCATCATCACCACCATCGTCACCCTCATCATAGTTCCGGCGCGCTCCTCACACGTGTCCCTGGCCCCATAGGGAGCTCCACTGAAGGCTCAAGTGGCAGAGTCCGCATGCATACTCGGGCCAATTTTGGGACACCCCTCACACGTTTCGTGGCCCCATCGGGGGCTCCACCGAAGGCTCCAGTGGCAGGGTCCGCATACGTACGCGGATCCATTTGGGCGAACACCTCACACTTGTCTTGGCTCCATAGGGCTCTCCACCGAAGGCTCCAGTGGCAGGGTCCGCGTGCGTACTCGGGTCCACTTCGGGGAATACCTTACACGCTTCTTGGCACCATAGGGAGCTCCACCGAAGGCTCCAGCGGCAGGGTCCGCAAGCGTACTCGGGCCCCATTCGGCGAACACCTCGTACTTTTCGTGGCCCCATAGGGAGTTCCACCAAAGGCTCCAGTGGCAGGGTCCGCATGCGTACTCGGGTCCATTTCGGCACACCACTCACGCGTTTCGTGGCCCCATCGGCGGCTAGGCTCCAGTGGCAGGGTCCGCATGCCGCATGCGTACTCGGGTCAATTTGGGCACAACTCTCACACGCTTCGTGGCCTCATAAGGAGCTCAACCGAAGACTCCAGTGGCAGGGTCCGCATGCGTACTCGGGTCCCATTCGGCGAACACCTCACACGTTTCGTGGCTCCATAGGGAGCTCCACCGAAGGCTCGAGTGGCAGGGTCCGCATGCGTACTCTGGTTCATTTCGGCACACCCGTCACACGTTTCGTGGCACCGTAGGGAGCTCCTTTTTCTCGTTTTTTTTTCTTTTTTTTTCTCTTTTTTGCGTACTCGGGTCAATTTGGGCACAACTCTCACACGCTTCGTGGCCTCATAAGGAGCTCAACCGAAGACTCCAGTGGCAGGGTCCGCATGCGTACTCGGGTCCCATTCGGCGAACACCTCACACGTTTCGTGGCTCCATAGGGAGCTCCACCGAAGGCTCGAGTGGCAGGGTCCGCATGCGTACTCTGGTTCATTTCGGCACACCCGTCACACGTTTCGTGGCACCGTAGGGAGCTCCACCGAAGACTCCAGATGCAGGGTCCGCATGCGTACTCGGGTCCACTTCGGCGAGCGTCTCACACGTTTCTTGGCCCATTCGGGGGCTCCTCCGAAGGCTCCAGTGGCAGGGTCCGCATGCGTTCTCGGGTCCATTTCGGCACACCACTCACACGTTTCGTGGCCCCATAGGGTCCGCATGCGTCCTCGGGTCCACTTCGACGCGCCTTCGCACCCCAACGAGCTCTTGTGCATCGAGCGGTCCTGCTGGTAGTTTCCACGCACGTGGGGTTGGGTTCTTAGCCAGGGTAATTTCAGTGGGGGCGGCCCCAACCTGTGATGCACGCGACGGCGGAGCTCGCTCATCCACGGCGGCGGTCCTCATGCTCAGGTCTGATGTCTCCACATGGGCGTCACATGGACGTGTCCGAGGGCCTGTCGCTGCTGGCGGGGACACATGCGGTTGTCAGGCGGGCGGGTGCAGTGGGAGTGCCTTCCTGTGTGCGTGCTGGACCCCTAGCCGTCCACAGAGAACGTTTTGTCAGTAGGGGCGGCCCCAACCTGTGATGCACGCGACAGCGGAGCTCGCTCGTCCACGGCGACGGTCCTCATACTCAGGCCGTCTGTCTCTACATTGGCGCCACATGGGCGAGAGTGTCCGGGGGCCTGTCGCTGCTGGCGGGATCCTATGCGGCTCTCAGGCGGGCGGGCGTAGTCGGAGTGCCTTCCTGTGTGCGTGCTGGACCCCTAGCCGTCCACAGAGTACGTTTTCAGTGGGGGCGGCCCCAACCTGTGATGCACGCGACAGCGGAGCTGGCTCATCCACGGCAGCGGTCCTCACGCTCAGGCCGTTTGTCTCCACATGGGCGTCACATGGGCAACAATTTCCGAGGGCGTGTCGGTGCTGGCGGGATCCTATGCAGCTCTCAAGCGGGCATGTCCAATCGGAGTCCCTTCCTGTGTGCGTGCTGGACCCCTAGCCGCCCACAGAGTACGTTTTCAATGCGGGCGGCCCCAACGTGTGATGCACGCGACAGCGGAGCTTGCTCATCCACGAAGGCGGTCCTCACACTCAGGCCATCTGTCTCCACATGGGCGTCACATGTGCGACAGTGTCCAGGGGCGTGGCGCTGCTGGCTGGATCCTGTGCGGCTCTCGGAAGGGCGGGTGCAGTGGGAGTGCCTTTCCGTGTGCGTGCTGGACCCCTAGCCGTCCACAGAGTGCATTTTCAGTGCTGGCGGCCCCAACCTGTGATGCACGCGACAGCGGAGCTCGCTCATCCACGGCAGCGGTCCTCACACTCAGGCCGTATGTCTCCACATGGGCGTCTCATGGGCGACACTGTCCTGGGGCCTGTCGCTTGTGCGGTTCTCAGGCGAGCTGGTGCAGTCGGAGTGCCTTCCTTTGCGCGTGTTAGATCCTTTGTTTGCTGTCCACAGAGTACGTTTTCAGTTGGGCAGCCCCAACCTTTGATGCACGCCACATCGGAGTTCGCTCATCCACGGCGGCGTTCATCACACTCAGTCTGTCCGTCTGCACATGGGCGCCACATGAGCGACCGCATCGTCGTCGGCGGTGTCGGACCTGTCAACGGGTGCATTCTGACCAAAGCTGCCAGGAGGATCTAGCCGTGGCGACACGAAACATCCGAGGAGGCCCCAGAATCGGCGAGGAACCAATAAGCTCGAACCTCGATCCTAGTCGTCGTCGTTTGGTCGTCGTCGTTGTCGTTGTCGTCGTTGTCGTCGTCGTCGTCGTCGTTGCCGTCGACGTCGGCGGCGGCGGCGGAGGCGGCAGCGCGCTGCTGCGGTGCGTCTGCGGGTGGGCACGCTGGGTGTGCTGGCTGCGCCCGAAGGCGCCCGATCGCTGCGCCGCGGGCCGCTTGCTGCCGCTCGCCCGCGGCCCTCGGGGTTTTCTGACGTTTTCGCTGGCGTGTCGCGGTCTTCGGATTCCTGTTCGAGGTTTTCTGGTATTTCCGTCGGTTCGAGGCTCGAGGTTCCCAAATGCTTTCCGTCGGATAGGTTCGAGGGGGGACGCATTGACCCCCAATCGCCCATGGATCGCCGATCGGGCCCGACAGCGCACATCGTCCGTACCATACGGATTCGCTATCGGGGACGTACCGCCGAGGTATCGCGGATTCCCGGTCGATGTCCCCCCCTCTGAGCCAATCCCCTCCCCCCTCGTCTCCCCCCACCTCTGTCGATCAATCGTCGAGAGCCGTTTTGGGGGGCTTCTGGAATTTGAAGTGATCTCCCCAGACATGTCCTCGCGTACTGAAATAACACGACGGGCATTTTTTGTTAAATGTTTAGCATCTGGAGACTCTCGCCAGTCCTTGTGATTGTCAAAAAACGACTGGGGGTGAAAAGCGGGCATTTTGGAATGGGTCGAGGCGTCTGGTGATCGATGTTTTGAGCAAATCGTGATGCCGGGGGACTCCTGCAAATCAAAGGGACGTCTCTGGGTCGTTTTGGTCCTTCTTCGCTGGAGCTTCTGCCAGTCAAGCCTGCGAGGCGTTCTGGTTCTTTCTTCATTGTTGGGGCTTCTGTGGCCGTCATTGGGTGGCCAGATGGGCTTCTTGGCTGTCTGATCGGGTCGTTGGTTGGTCGGCTGGTCGGCTGGTTGAATGGCCGATTGGGTGCTGGGGCGGCTACCTGGTTGGGTGGTTGCTGGGTCGGTCAGTTGGTGGGCTGGTTGGTTGGTGTGTTACTTGGTTGGTGGCCCAGCTCCCTGCCATTCGCCGATCTGGTGAAGCAAACGGGGGCGGCTG